TCGAGAAGCCTATTAATCGAATCTTTTACTATTTCAAGAAAAAAATTTCACATGATATGACCCTATACGAAAAAAAACAAAAAATAAATAAATACAACCCGAATACGACAAAAATTTTTGGGGGCAAACGCAGATAGATCTGAGTGCGCAATGCAACACATCTCTGATAAGATAATATAAAATTTTTGAATAAAAATCTACACTGTTTTAGTCAAAAAGGAAATGTAGCGGATCACAAGCAAAGGCAAAGGCCAATATAATTATATACACATACACAAATACATATATAAATGGAAATGATCATAGTTATACTGACAAAAAAGATTATTAAGGGGTTAATAAATAGAGTATTATTTTTTTTAACTTAGGTGACCTTATCCTTAGTTTATTAGTGGAAGATTTATAAAGAAATCATAATATAAAAATAAGAAAAAAACTAATATTCTAAACTACTAATGTATCCCACTCTTGTAACCTTGAATTCACTCAGCTTGCTTTACACTACCTAGGTATGATCTACTGCAAAAAGTATTTATCTCCCTAAAAGATGTCTTATCGAAATAGAGTAGTTCCTTTAGATCAACAATAGATTCTTTTATACCTTATCAAGGTCCTAGGTTGCTTCTAATCTAATTGAAACTAAATTACAAACTATTAATACCTAGTCCAAGTTAAAAATAAAAATTGTTGCATATAATAAAATGTAGCTAATTATATGAACTAAGCTTGTAAGGGAAAAATTCACTACCAGATTAAAAAACCTTTACAAGTAAAAAAGTAAAGGAAAAAGAAAAATAAACAAACACTCTAATTAACATAAAGAAAAAAAGAGTATGACAAAATATAAAAATATTATACTATGCAAAAACAAAAACATATATCTCTAGCAATAAACTTCTCTAGAAGTTAAATTCTAATTAGATTATCTACGTGATAGTGATATATGTATTTGTTGTCTTGTCTAAGTTGCATATCAACAGATGACTTGCTAAATTAGGAAGTAGTATGAACTTGCAGATCCTTTGTCAGGAGTTCACCAAATCCCCCACTTTTTTATTTTTTAGTATAGAGAAATCCAAAAGTCCAAAGAGAAATGTTAGTAGTGTTAAAAAAATTTAAAGAGAATATATATTTTTCAAAATCTACTATCTACTTGTATTCACCTAGAGTGTAACCAGTACTTATCTTCTGTGCGTAAGTGATAAACTCTAAGCTTGTCAGCAAGTAGCATATGAGAACTACTTCTAAACGATAAGTACTACTATGATATTGCAGTGAGTAATAAACTCTAAACCTATTAGTAGATAGCGTATAAGAACTATCTCTAAATAACAGGTGCTGTCTTATGCTTCCCTGCATTGTTGCTCTTATGTTTCTACAAAGTTTATTGTATATTTTTTTAAAAAAATAAGTTAGGAATTTTTGGTACAAGGAATCATCAGAAAGAGTTGTGTAGTTGACTTTTAATCTTATTTTCAAATTCTAAATAATAATAATACCAACGTAAAATTTGTTTCTGATCTGATTTAATTGCTTTATCAAATAAGTCTGATAAACTTTGTACAGAGTCCAGAATCATATCCTGTATACAAGACTTACTAATTTCTATTTTACCATTATTTGTATTAATTTCAGGAAGAACAATACTTTGTGTTTGATTAGAGGTTATCTCTTGAATTAAACCTTCTATTATTTGGTTATCAGATTTAAGCATTTCGGAGGTAGTATCAAAATTGTCAATAGTATGATTTTGATTGTAACATTTTGTCATGGTTTTTGCATTGTGTAATGATAATGTTTTTGTCTTTTCTTCTAATGATTCAGATTTGCCAAAGCATGTTCCATTAAGATAATATATCAGAAATTGTATTGTCTATCTGTTCTGAAGTTGCTTCTTAGTGAGATGAAGAAGAGACAAAGTTCTGAGTCTCCGACTTGTCTGTAATCTGTGCATTTTTGCAATTCTTGCTAGGCAATGAAATGGAATGTTCCAGAGACTTTAAATCATTAGTAACTATTCAATTTTGCTTCTCGATATTCTTAACAGATCAGTTCAATTCTGCAATTTCAACCTTAAGCTTAGTATTTTCT